TTTGAGTTGGAGTCTCATCTGTTGCCCAGGCTGGAGTGCAGTAGCATACTCACAGCCACCCCAGCATCACCCTGCTGGGCTTTGGCAATCCTTGCACCTCAGCCTTCCAAGTAGCCGGAACTATAGGTGTGCACCACCATGCCTGGCTAATTTTTTGATTTATTGTAGAGACGAGGTCTCGCCATGTTTCTAGGACTGGTCTCAAACCCGTGGGCTCAGGCAGTCCACTCGCCTTGGCCTCCCAAAGTGGTGGGATTACAGACTGAGCCACCAAGCCCGGCCTGAGTTAATTTTTGTGTGTGGTGTGAGGTCAGGATCCAGCCTCCTTTTGCATGTGGATATGTAATTGTTCCAGCACCATTTGTTGAAAAGACTCTTCTTGTCTTGACACATCCTTGTCAGAAAATAGTTGACCATAAATGTAAGGGTTGGTTTCTGGACTCATAATTCTGTTCCATTAATTTGTATTTTTGTCCTTATGGCAGTACCTTGCTGTCTTGATTATTGTACGTTTGGCTTTTTGTGACTTCAAATCTGGTGTTTGTTCAAGTGTTTCTGTGTTTGTTGAAAAAATTATCTAGGTACAAAATAGCAGAAGTGACTAATAGAGGTTGCTCATGCAATGATAATAAGCCCCATTGAGGCCATTTGCTGTCCTTCTCTTTCCTGGTGATGGAGTGAGCATTACAGAGTCTCCTCTCTCTCTATTACATTAAAGCTATCTGTATATGTGTGTGAGAAAGAGAGGGGAGGGAGAGTCGGCCCTTACTTCTTCCACATACGCAACTTACTTTGTAATCTGTTATAGTCACATGTAAAGGCCCAGAGCAGGTCAGCAGGTCCTGTTTGCTCTCCCTAGAAATACTCATCATTGGTCAGAGTGCATTAACGGCGGTTTGGTGTGGAAGACCTATAATAGCACTGACTGCACTGGCTGTCAGGGGAAGCATGGGTTTTGGAAGCTTTCATTAGCATTAATTGTCCCTAATGCACCATCATTTTTGACAGTAATAAGCTAAACAGGAGGGTTATTACTCCCAGCAGAAAGACTGCATTTCCTGACTTTAGAACATTTTTTGAGATGTATGTGGCTTGTGGTGTGGGCAAAGAAAGGAATAGCAGGATCCAATGTAAAGCAGGCTCAACTACTCACTCAAAGTGGAGAAACGAGTCCCTTTCCTATTATAAAAACGAATCCTGCCATATTGGTTTGAAGAAGGAAGCAGCTAATCAACAGGGATCCTACTCTGAACTCTTTAAAACAGGGCTTTGAAAAAAACTGTGATATTTATTTCTAAATTTGCTTTAGTGGAGTAGTGTAAAAATGCTTTTCTTTTGAGTCTTTCCAGAGACCCATCTGTAGTAAGATTTTAGGAGCAGAAGGATTTGTTTTAAACTGTTCTCTGTTTAAGAACAGCCCTATAGTATTTCTGTGCATCAAAGAAAGGTGTAACTCAGGAAGTCTCTTAAAATCAGGGCTAAGAGAAAACCTAAAATGACTCAAGTTCACTGCAGTTTGCCCTTTGCTCATTCCATGCGTCTGTATTGTCTGGGAATGTTCGTGATGTTTTTAGAACAAACATGCAGCTCAGTGGCCAAAAGTTTAGTCAGGATTCTAAGTGCTAAACTTTAGTGCTAAAAGTTTAGTCAGGATTCTAAGTGAAAACCTGAAAGTTGATGGCTTCCTTTTTGCTGTGAATAGGGTACATTGAGAAATCTTACACAGTCCTTTAAACATATATTTGTATATATCCATCTGCTGAAAGGAAGATTGATTATTTTTAAAAGCACATTAATTGGGTGGTACTTTTTAATATACATATAAATAATATAAATATAAAAATATAAATAATTTTAATGCTTTTTAATATAAACAATTTAAAAATACTTTATAAATATAAAAAAGTATATGAGGAAGACAGTACAGACCAGCATGGTAGCTCAGGTCTGCAATCTCAGCACTTTGGGAGGCCAAAGCAGGGGGATTGCTTGAGCCTAGGGGTTCGAGATCAGCCTGGGCAACATAGCAAGACCTCATCTCTACATAACATAAAAAAATTGGCTGGTTGTGGTGGCGCATGCCTATAGTCCTAGGAGGCTAAAGCAGAAGGATCACCTGAACCCAGGAAGTTGAGGCTGCAGTGAGCTGTGACTATGCCACTGCGTTCCAACTTGAACGACAGAGTGAGATCCTGACTCAAAAAAAAAAGAAAAGATAGTATATGACCCACAATCTCACTGCTCAGATAACCTCTGTATTTTACAACTAGCAATAAAATATGCACGTGTTTAAAAAAATCTTCCAGCTGGGTGCAGTGGCTCACGCCTGTAATCCCAGCACTTTGGGAGGCGGAGGTGAGAGGATTGCCTGATTCCACGAATTGAAGACCAGCCTGGGCAACATGGCAAGACCTCTTCTTTATAGTAAATCAAAAAATATGCTGGCATGATGGTGCACCCCTGTAATTCCAGTTAATTGGAAGGCTGAGGTGGAAGGATCACGTGAGCCCAGCAGGTCAAGGCTGCAGTAGCTGTGAACAGCGTGCCACTGCATTCCAATCTGGGTGACAGAGTGAGACTCCGACTCAAAAAAAATTATTCTTCCAAGTACAGAAAGCCATATAATGTAATATAACAGTCTCCTTTCAGCTCCTCAATTCAGGCCTCTGAGGAATTCATTGTTTTGTTTCCCTTGTACTCCTTAAGAAAAAAAGAATACATAGTACGGTCAACATAAGCATATCCTTTCTTATGTACACACGAGGGATCATTTGCCTTTGTGACAAAGTGGAGGTGCCCAGTGTTACCCATGAGGGTCTTCACAGCCATCCTCCTCTCCTACCTTAATTCGCCCTGTTGCCAAGACTCGATGACAAGCAGTGATGCTATACACAATTTTACTACTAGATGGCTATGTATTCAAAGTAGGAGGTAATATCTCCATATCTGTCCATACACATCTACTGTGCTCTTTCTTTTTCATCACTCCATGGCAATTTATAGTGTGCGTGTACCATTATTATTTTCAGCTAGTCTCCTATTGATGGACATTTAGGCGGGATGATGATTTTGAGACAGTTTTTACAAATTAAATGAGTTTATCTTAAGAGAATGAGTTACAGAAATGAAGAGGGCGTTGTCTGGTTAATGTTGATGAGGATTGCAGAGTAGTGAACCATGAAGACAGATGATTTTTATAGCATGGAGTATTGCTACTCTCCTAATTCTCCCAAAATTGGAGGACTGCTGAGCCTCTTCCTCAGTCTTTTTTGTTCAGGAGCGTTTCCTACTCCCCAGTCAAGGGGCCCCCCCGGGCAGACTTGGGTCATGATTCCTTCCGTGCTTTCGTAGCACTTTTTATACCTTCCATTCGAGTAGCAGACTAGCCTGCTATAATTGTGGTTCGCCTATGGGACAGGAAGTATATTTTGCCATCTCTATATTCCTGCACCTAGATGCTCCCCATGCTGTGGGCAGCGTTCTTAGAGGGGTGTTGTGCTAAAAGTCAGTCACCTCATCAAAGCTCTTTGGCTGCTTCTTTGCTTGAGCCTTCCATTCCATTTGTCTTCAAGTGGAAATGGTGTCTGTGCCTGTTTGGGTTGAGCTTTCTGCAGCACAGCTTGCTTTGGTTCTGAGCTCTGTGTGAGTTGTAGAGAGTCCAGAGAGCCAAAGTAGCAGCTCGGAGCTTTCTCCCTGGGACGTCTCTTCAACTTGCGGGGACATCTTCCCCCTCCTCCACCGCCATAGTTCACCCAGCTGCCTAGACTCAATGACAGGCAGTGATACTAAATTTTTTAAAAATTTATTTATTGTAGAGATGAGGTCTCTCCAGGTTGTCCAGGATGGTCTTGAACCTGCATGCTCAGGCAATCCGTTTGCCATGGCCTCCCAAGGTGTTGGGGCCCAGCCTTAATCCGATTATTTCTTGTTTACCGGCATTAGCTGGCTCCTCTGTGTGAGAATGTTTCTATAGACATAAAGAATTCAAACACTGTAAGAGTCAAGATAGATTGGTTTGTGCTTATAACAAACTCCAAATCTTGGTGGCTTTAGACAAAGGTTTATTTTTTGCATATGCTAGGATGTCTTTAGGGGGTCAGCTGGAGGCACTGCTTCATGCTGCTCTTACTCCAGGTCCTGGCTGAAGGAATAAGCCTTTCTCTGCACATTATCTGTGTGTATGTCAGAAGAAATGAAAGAGTCACACGCTGACTCTTAAAGCTGCCACCTGCTCACATCTCACTGGCCAGAGCAAGTCATGTGGCCACACCTGACTTTATGGGGGTCGAGAAGTAGAATTCTACTGCATTGTTAGAAGAATGAGAAGCACTGGCAAACAGTATGGGTAACAGCCATAGCTCCTGAGGACTCCATAGCAGTCATAGCACTGCTTGGTGCAGAATAAGTGTTGGCAGGAAACTGTGCAGCCAGGAGCCAAAGCATGTGGGTTCTGAGTTGTAGAGCTTGAGCTTAGCCCTGGCCACTTGATCACTTGCTAGCTGTGTGCTCTTCAGCAAGCAGCTTAATCTCTCTCATCTTTTTCCTCATCTGAAGTAGCACAACCTTGATGAATTGTGAGGATTAAATAAGATAGTCTTTACAAAGCCATTCACATAGTAAGCACTCAGTAAATATTAGCTGTCATTAGAATTGAATACTTACTGATTTGAATTATTTCAAGGCAACTGCTTAAGGATTTCTCCCCTTTATTTTAAAGTACACATGAAGAGTTCTACTTTTTTATCTTTTCCTGTTTTTAAAAAAATACATACTGTCCATCCAAAGCCAGAAAAGGGAAGAATTAAGGAGTTACTTTTTAGGCCTCAGAATGGGAGAGGTTGGAAATAAAAAATTCAATAACTGTAATCCTTAAAGACTCTTGTCCTAGGATTTTGTCATGTCTTTACTCACCTTAAAGTGTAGGAAACTTTGAATATGCATAATAATTCCTCGTATGGCCATTAGTTGACTTGGCAACTGTCTTCTCTGTTTTGCTGTAGCTCAGAGTCAAGATCTCCACTGAAGTTGGCATCACTAATGTTGATCTTTCCACTGTGGATAAGGACCAGAGCATTGCACCCAAAACTACCCGGTAGGTGGGGTTCCCACTGACCCCTGGGGAGCCCAGGCTCAAGAGCTGAGAGGAGTATGCCTATGTGCTAAGCCCCTCCAGATGCCAGCCCTGAGTCTGCAGGGATGCCGCTGCACCCCAGATGAAAGAGGCTCTACTTCCACTGGGTCTGCACCGGGGATTCAGCATCACATCTGAGTGGATTTGGGAGTTGTCTGTACTTCAGTCCACAGCAAGCTTTATTACCAGCCCACAATGAGATAAGGAGCTTACTTACATTAGAGTGTGAATCTGGATCCGTCAACTGTGTCACCAAGCACATTAGTGCAGATGACAGTTTTTTAATAACAAGACCTTCTCAATGAAGAAAGCAGGATATTAATTTATATTCTGGTACAGTCTCCTTATCTTCACAGTTCTAAGTTTGCTTTTAGTCACCTCATGACAGCACTCTGGAAGCCTCATTGATTCTTAGAACTGAGATGGCAAAAACCCAGCACTGGAGCTGCCAGTCCTTCCCAAGCCCATGGAAGGCATGACTCACAAGTCACAGCATTTGTTCCTGGTGAACTGAGACACAGCCTCAGAATCTTTTTTTTTTTTTAAACACAGCCTTCTAAGTAAACATTAACAGTTGCTCAGAGTCAGGCAAGAATGCTGTATGAGGCCCATAGGTCAACCTTCCTCCTGGTCCTTAGTGGTGGGTGGGTAAGATTCATACCTGATGGGTCTAGAATACAGTCCAGACCCAACTTGACTCAACTGGGGTGGCTTTGGAGGCCAGAAGATGCAGGTTAGCCTGCAAAGCCATTTTGAAGACAGGATATTAAAGCCTAGAAGCCAAGCTGTCAGTTCTTTTAAATTGTGTAGACCTGGCCTTTGTGTTTCTGGCTTGACTATTTTTGTGGTGATATTGAAGATAGGAATAATGTTTGAGAATTGACAATAATGTCTGTGAGAGTACTTGACAGTTTGATTCTCTGCATAGAGGAAGAGTTGGTCTTATTCATGAGCAAATAGAATGTGTGAGCATAAAACACAGCCCGCATGAGTCTGTCATTGTTCAGCTTGTTTATCCCCTGGCCACCTTGCCTTGAAATCCCAGGAGATAGCTGTGAAAAGAACAATTTTCCTCAGGTCTGCATTTTGAGAAAATGACTTTTTAAAACCCAATTTCAGGGCAGAAAAGTAAGTTGAAACAGTGTCCAGGAAAAAATGTAGCATTAAAAAAAGAAAAGGCTACATGCGCCTTCTTTCCTTGCTTCTCCTGCCCCTCTCCTCTCGACCCTGCTCACATACGCTGCCAGCATCAGCCCTGTGAGTCTCCCTCACTGCAGCTGTGCAGCCGGCTCTCCTGTCCCCGTGGGTGCTCCGCTGGTGTCTGACTAGGTGGAGCTGACAGCCTTAGATCCTTGACCTGGAGGCACGAGCATCTGCAGAGACCATGCTCCCCAGGCTCTGCCAAAAGTTTCTTCTGCAGTTGTCTCAGTTCTGGCTTTATCAATCCAATTTACCCTCAGGCTGCAGACAGTTCTCCACATGTGTCCACACAGGAGTGTTCCAAGGGGAGAGGGAGGATTAGGCGGTGAAGTATGTATTCTTTGTCTGTTCTCAGAGATCCTCTCTGAAGACTGACTGTATTATGTCTCTTTCAGGGTGACTTACCCAGCCAAAGCCAAGGGCACATTCATTGCAGACAGCCACCAGAACTTCGCCTTGTTCTTCCAGCTGGTAGATGTGAACACTGGTGCTGAACTCACCCCTCACCAGGTCAGGAAGAAGCCTGTACAGTTCTCTTGGCCTGGGACATGAATGAATGCTAGAGTTTACTATGTGGCATATGATATGGACTAGAGAAAATTCTACATTCCTGCTTTTTCAAATTTTGACTTAGAACCTGACAGTCCATCAGATTCTCCCCCGTGACACTCTATGCCTTGTACAGATTATAATTCTTTATCTGGAATGCATGCTTCTTTTAAAAGAAGGGGCCGGGTGTGGTAGCTCATGTCTATAATCCCAGTGCTTTGACAGGCCATGGCTGGAGGATCGCTTGAGGCCAGGAGTTCAAGACCAGCCTGGGCAATATAGCTAGATCTTGTCTTTCAAAAAAAATGAAAAAAAACTAGCCAGGTGTGGTGGCATGTATTCCAGCTACTCAGGAAGCTAAGGAAGGAGGAACACTTCAGCCAGGAGTCTGAGGCTGCAGTGAGCTTTAATCACACAATTACACTTTAGCCTCAGTGACAGAGTGAGACCCTGTCTCCAAAAGAATTAAAATAAAATAAAATAAAAGCTTAGTTGGTATTGAGAAGATGTACTTATGGCAGATTAGCACTTAATTGAGGCTCTTTTCTTTCTGATTAAAAAGAATATATTGAAATAATTTTGAAAAAAGGAATACCTAGGCAAAAGACCCAAAACATTTTTTTTTTGTTCTGGCCAAAACCGATGTCCCATTTGTGGGACTCTGAAGAATAGACCTTTTTAATTTGTCCCTGCTTTGTATTATGAAACAATAGACTTTATTTTTTTCACATATAAGGTAATTAAAATTATTATTTAAAAGATTTCCCCAGAGAACCGAATATGGCCCTTTTTCCTTTCAGACACCCCCAACCACCTCTGTTATCCCCCTTGATTGAGAATAACTATTCTTGGCCCTGCCTTTGGTGTTGTCTAAAGGAAAATCCAGATAAATATATTGAATGCTGAAAGACAAGGAGGAATGTGGCCCCTAGTAGGCCTGGTTTAGGTGCTCTATGTGAGGCTGTAGCAAGAACCAGCAGTCTTGTGTTCGTACCTCAAGGCGGTTTCAGGGCAGACCACTGAGGGAGTGGATTAACTTGGAAGCCTTCTTGCTTTCTGTTTCTCAAGGCTGCAGTTGTTGCCCTTGTGCCCCAGAGCGCCTGTGCCCTCCACCCCAAACTCCAGACAGTGTGGTTAGGGTCCTTAGCCATGGTTAACGGAACCTTAAGCACTTCAACCTATTAGCATTTCCCAGCTCCTTACCAAAGTGACATTTGCCAACCAAATAGCACAAGAGAGGAGCGATACAAAGAGAAGAAATTACAAGACTATACCGGTGGGGTTAGGGTTAGAGCAGGGAGAGTTAGTAAAGAAATGTAACTTCAACTGAACATGTCTCATCCAAGATTCTGTTTTGGGAAATCATTGCCTAGAGACCCGCCCCC